GGTGTCTACCGTAGACGATAGCGCGCAGCTACATGCTTCATTGGAGCCTTGATGTCATTAACTACATTCGACTAAGAGCTGCTATTTCCGCAGTCCTCGTCCAGTGGATAACGTGCCACTCCACGCGCATCAGAAGGGTCTTGCCCAGGACGCCTCAGACCTCGTCCGACCATGCCACTTTTAGTATGCAGCAACTGCTTTGTAACATAAGCAGTGCTCAGTAAAGGGCTTCGAGAAGCCATAGAGGATTCTTATCAATTCTGGTAAAGCGGGCAATTATGCTCGGCGCTCCACGATCAAAGGAAATCAGCTGTACGCTGAGGCGCTGATAGTGCGTTTGAGTGACACCGTCACTGTTCGCTAAGCGACGGGAACTTGTGTCACTATGCCGAGGGTCCCTATGGACCTTAGTGTCATTTTTTTTTAACTTTGATAGCGTGAAACGCTACCTCATCTTAGACTTAAATGTAAGATACGACCTTTTCCTTAGTATTGCATGCTCGGAATCCCATAAGCCATCGATTGATTGGAGGCCGAAGACCTTATGCGCTACGCGCATGTCTTCTGGTGGATAATTGGTGAGTCGTGAACTCACCTCTACTAGAAAGCAGAAATGCTATTGGCACGGGCACTGGACCGGGACGATTAATGTGCTGGATATCGAAGTATCCGAGTTGTTGATCACCAAGGTGTTTTGAACAGGAGTCTCGAGCGTGACTCGAGGGCTGAACGTGGAGTGGCATGAGCGCTGCTCAAGTATTGATCAGACGCTGCATTTCAAGAGTGGCATGGTCGACCAAGGGCCGAAGCATCGAGGTCGTAGCCCTTGTAATGCGCATGTAGTGGCTTGTAACCCACTGAGAACTGCTCATGTTACGAAGCAGTTGCTGCATGCCAAGAGTGTTATGGTCGAACGAGGTCCGAGACATCAAGGGCGAGGCCCTTGTAATACGCTTGGATTGACACGTAATTCACTGGACGAAAACTGCGGAAATAGCAGCTCTTCGTCGGATGTTTTTTATAAGATCAGGGCATCGATGGAGCAGGGAGTGAAGACACTGGACGACCCGGGTACGTGTTCCAACTGGTCTCGATGAAACGTACTATCTCTATAAAAGGTAGAATGCGAAGCCGTATGTTATCTCAAGACGCAGGGCGTCGACCTGACCCAGGGTTTGTCTACCGTAGATGATAAAACACCGATATATACCCTTGTCAACTGTATGACGGGAGGAAAAGACGGCGACATCACCCTCGATGCTATTCCCGCGTTCGATGCTCTTCTTGAGCTGGACGAGATGTCCTTCGATTCGTTTAGCAGTACCTTGAAGGTAGGCAATTTAGCCGAGGTGGTCATTTTAAGACCGAACGAGGAGACTAACTCGCCTTCGCTTCTAAGCGAAGCTTTCCTGGAGGACACCAAGAAGGTGCTGAACGTACTAAGCGGATAACCGATCCAAAAGGATCCATCAGATTCGTATTATCCTTTGGTAAATCAAGACGTCGTCCCAAAAGACCCGCCGTTCGTCCTACCTCCTAACCGAGGTGTGCGTCATAAGATTGACTTGATACAGGGAGCCAAATACTGCGTAACACGCCAATGGCCCCTGCCCACAGAGCAGTGTGACGTCATTGACGCCATTTTCCGAGGAGTACGGCGCAAGAATGGTGCGTGAGAGCAAGTCTCCCCATTCGACACCCATGTTCTAGCTGAACGGCAAGTGGCGTATCGTTCTCACTTACAATAAGCTAAAATTTTGGCCCAAACGCCGTTTCCTAGGAGGGATGTTCTCCAGAACAATATGATTGGCTGTACAAGGTACAGCGCTCTCGACTTGGTCGATGGTTATTACCAATCGCTCATGAGAGCGAGTGATATTCTGCTAACAGCGGTGAGTACTTTCGAGCGGGATACTTTAGGAGTGAGCTGGTGATGCAACAAGGGATGTCAGCTGCACCAGCAAAATTTATTCGGCTTAAGCCGCGATCATTTAGACCCCATCGAGCGTATGCGCAGACATACTTCGACGGCATCTTCGTCCACGGACGTGCGGAGCACAGGAGACCAGATATGAAGAACCTCATCGTTCATTTGAGAGAATAAGCTGTTTGCCAATGCTGATCAGTGCATCTTCAGCGCGAATTTTAAGATGCTTGATTGAGAAACGTGCCCTTGAGCGGATCCCGCTAAAGTCAAGACCATTGTGAACAGGCCGATTC